TTGATATCTTTTATTGTACTAATTAAATCCCATGTATTTTGAACAAAAACCAAGCAAGCCGTTCTTATGTTTATTTAGGATAAATGAGACATTTATCACATGATGGAACATTCTTTTTTTGTATAAAAAATTTCTGAGGTACTTTTTGGCCGGCCAACTTACATATATTATTTTTTGGATGGGAGCCTATTCCTTAGTTGCATTATTGTCACAATATATGCTATAGTATTCTAGTCCACATATGACTATATGAGACAAGAAAAGTCTATAAATTTATGGTAAATTAATTATTGATTTTGATGAATAATAGCTACGAGCCTATGAATGATTTTAGAAAGTTCATTAAATAAATAATCTTGAAAAGAAAGTACAATCATTCCCACATATAATACAACCTAAAATTAAGTTCAATAAATTTCAATTTTCTGAAACTAAATATCGTGCTTATTAGTTATACACATTGGATTTGAATATTGGAGCCATGGATAAGAGAAAATAGATTGTACGGACCTAGTTTTTTTTTTTTTTGGTANTGTTTATTTAACTATTATGATAATAACATACCATTTTTACAAATAAGCATTTTTTATTAGATAATGTAATATTTTGATGAACAAAATAAATAAAAATACAATATTGGAAAGCATAAGTATGTATATTTGCTCAAAGAGAATTTGTGTAATTTATTAGCATAGTACTAAATTTATGCTATCTATACTTATATAAAAAGTCATTCTATTTACTAGAAATAGTAAGCAAAAAAGTCAAAGGTAATTAATGCTTGCTGGAAATAGAATGACATTAATTACAGATTTGTTTTGGTATTTATAGGCTTGACATTATAAATTTGTTATGGGATATTTCTACCCTTGTTAGAAAAGTCAAAGGTAAGTATAGATTTGTTTATATTATCAAATCATAAAAAGATATTAAATCCATATTGTAAAAAAAATAATTCATATAATTTTTATAACAATTCTACTACACTATTTAACAGTATTCATTTTAATTATATAATAAAATAATAATTAAATATTATATGGTGAACAACAATAAGTAAAACTGATACTTTATCTTATATTAAATTTTTATTAGTATAAATGTTTTATTGAGATAATATATTAATTGTTTTACAAGTTAGCCCTAACATCCTCATATTTAATGTTCTGGCTAAAAACCAACGTTGGTTAAAAGATATGGAAAAAAATTTATAATTACCCTATTATTTTTTAGACTTAACGTTCATTAAAAGAGGTAGAAAATAGATAATAATCCTATTATTTTTTAAACTTAAACGGGCAAAGCTATGAAAATAACTCATTTAATATCTCTGTCTCGTGCATCGCACGGGGTACGTACTAGTATATATATATATATATATATATATATATATATATATATATGCCTCATTTTGGATATTTATTAATTTTGTTTTAGTGCTATTATTATAGTAATAAACCACTCATATAAATTTATATAGTGCTATTATTATAGTAATAAAGTTACTATTATTATAATTATATAATTACTATTATTTTTTGTGGTGGCACTGGTACATCTTCCTTGACCATACTATAAGAACAATAATAGTGAAGAAAGAAAAAATTTGCAGCTTTGTCCCAGAAATCTGATTTATAACTGCTATAGTGAAAATTGGTGCAAAGTACAGATTAAAAATGATTATTCTGGTAGCAAACAGCAGTAACTCAGATCCAATTTTATTAATAATTTAGAAGATTGTGTGATCACCAAATTAATCATCTGCCACTACTTGACAAAGATTTGCAGAAATATTTAAACAAATTTAAAAGTATATTAAAGAAGTGGACAAGAGTTATTGGCCACTCATAAGTTTTGATATTGTTGTTCTCAGTTTTGTGCTACAAAGGAAACAACTGGGAATGTTCCTTTTGTTCGTTTCCAGTAGTTTAAACTTTAAAGTCTATCTGGAAATTTTATTAATTTACACAAAGATGCATTTTATCTATTGAAATTACATATATTTCCTTCATAATTTCATTTAACTCAAAGAGGCCCCTAATTAAAGAGGCACATTTGAATATACAAATAAATGTCATGGTATAAGGCTGACGTTTTCTTTTCTTTTTGTTTTCCTTTTTTTTCGTATTTAGGCTAGCTAAATCTTAATTGTTTGTTATCCTTGACTTTTATACTTGCATGTGAATTTCTAGAAATCCAGTTTTAAAAATTATTTTTTTATTTTAATTGTGTACATTTCTGGCATATTTGAAGACTATCCTACAATTATTTAAAGCAAAAGCCAATTAAAAAATCTCTATGTAAATATAGAGTTTTACAAACTTCTGTGTCTATTTTTAATACTTTTATCGATTCTTCAGGTTTCATAATTGTATTTGTTAATTTATGGTGTCTTCGAGTATTTCATATAAGTAAAGACTTCTATTCATGCCTATTAAAACTTTTTAAATTATAAAATAATTGAATAACTTAAATTATAAATATATTATAAAAGTTAATAGCTGTCACATTAATTTTTTTTATCAGATCGATCTTCATATATGATATATCAAATTAATCATATTTTAGTAAGGTATGATTTGACATCTATATTTATATAATATATATTTACTTCTATAAATAATTAAATTATTTTTCAATATTAATTAGATTATAATAAAATTATTTATCGTTTGACAAAATATACCTATCAAGTTCATATATAATATGAATTAAAATAACTATTATAATATAGGATGAGTTAAATTGTATAAATGGATAATACTACTTTAAATATAAGTAATAAAATATTATTTTATTTTTTTTAATATATATATAAACTTCTCTTTAATCTATTTTTGGAAATTTAGATATAATCTATACTTATATTAAAAGGTATAGTATAAAGAAAATTCAACAACATTTATTGCATTACTATTTTCGTATTATACAATCTATACTTATATAAAAGGAGATTCTATTTACTACATTTACTATCCAGAAAAGTCAACTGCATTAAATGCCATTACTATTTTGGTATTATAATATTTTATTTATTTAATTGATTTATTTATTTGTTTTATTTTAAAAAGGTAAGTATAATAAAAAGATTTTAATTATAAAAAAATCAAATACCAAATAAAAATGTACACTTTGACTTATTTGATTATATTTGGTATTTGACTATACAAAATATATTCCTATTTAGTATATACATTAAATACTTACTAAAGTATTTATTTGTTTTATTTATCAAAGTTAATTAAGTATAGATTTGTTTATATTATCAAATCATAAAAAAATATTAAATCCATATTGTAAAAAAAAAAAATATAATTTTATAACAATTCTACTACACTATTTAACAATATTTCTTTTTTATTATATAATAAAATAATAATTAAATATTATATGGTGAACAACAATAAGTAAAACTGTTACTTTCTCTTATATCAA